AAAAAATAAGGAGGTGGCCGCTTCTCGATCTCTATGCACCCTCGTCAACTACCAAGCGATAGAAGTACTTACTTATTTTTACGTGATGCGTGATTGGTGAAATAAATTCTCTGTGATGCGGGATTTATAGAAAAATTCAGCGTGATTGGTACCCCCCTTTGCCACCCTCATAGAAATTTCGAGTTCGTAATCAAATGTTAATGAGCATAAGGTGGCTTCCAAACAATAAGAAGACTAAAGAGACAAGCGCAGTGGAGAACAATCACGAATTCAAATCAGCAGATCAACACCCTCATCAGCTTCTTTTAGCTTGTTATTTTATCAGTACTCGGCTATTACTGATTGCTCAACAAAGCTCTCTGAACTAGAAAATTTGAAAAGAGAATACGACTGGTCGTTAGCAAAGAAAAACTATTCTATTTTTAAAGACAAGCATTAGGAATCACGAATATGTATTTGTTCTGCTTAAATGAACATAGCGAACACAAGGAATAAGAATGTCCAATAGTGCGTAGTACTTTGATCAAATGATTAAAACTGCTTTTAATGTTAAACACTTTTAAATTTTTAAATTCCTTTAAACCTTGTTTTTGCAACTTAAGTGATTCTAAGCACTTTCAAAAGGAATAATTAGTAATTTCCATCGGTGGAATGTCAAGTCATTTAACAAGTCATTCAAACAAATTAGATGGTTGACCACACAAAGCATTACACTTGAGTTCGAAAACTGCGATAAGCAACTTACAATAAATCTGATAAACGTTTAAGAATACGACAGTGGTAATTTATACGTACCAACAGTTGGTCACGACACTCCTTCTAACTTTTGATGGAAATATTTTTATTTGAATGAACTGCTAAATATAATTATGACTTAATGCACCAATGACATCGATTGACGTAATAGTCACTATTGATTCGTCTATAGATCAACAGGCAGCTGTGCTCTGTCATTGTTTGTGTCGTTTGTTTTCTTGTTGTCAGGAGCGACAACGCTTATTTTACCACAATTCCTACCAATCTCGCAATCTCATTGGTTAATTTACCGTTGTCGATAAGAGTCTAGACAACGCTGCTCTCGTCAATGTGTCACGCGATGCCTTTTACGGAAACTCAACCCGCAACAGCCAGCCTTTTTCTAACGACCGTCGCCGAAAGCCAAAGAATCGGATATGATCTGGTACGTGAACAGCCCTCTCGGAGTGAATACGCTAGCAACAACGATGAAGGAAATCTACCTTGGCGCTGGACTGTCCCAGACGTACACTAACCACTGTGCGAGCAACCGCCATCACACTATAGTCAAACGCCAACGTCCCTTCAGGCCACATCATGTCCATCTTGGGCCATGCTAACGAGCAAAGCATATCAAGTTATAACTCCAGACCATCTGTAAAACAGTTGAAGAACTGCTCCAATATCCTCTCAAATGCTTTAGTTAGTAAAGAAGCGAGTTTAGCAGTTGTTCATGTTCCAGTGACGCCAGCTTCGAGTTCGATTTCGTATTCTGCCTCAAACTCCAGTACTTTGGCAATCGCAAATGGCTTCTTCCATAGCTGCAGCATTGCAAATGCCAATGTGTATGTTTTGCCGCAAATTCATTATAATTCTGCTTGAACATTTGCAGTAACTGAACAGTTGAAGTTGTATTTTCGTGAATAAACGTTCAACTTTACGGTCGTTTCGCTCGATTCAGAATTCTTTTGATAGCTTTTTCTTGTTGTAATAGCCATTCAGAAACGCTTATTTTGGGGAATAAACCAATCAGATTGCGAGAAAGTTATAGACAACGCTTGCTCTTTTTTTTGCGCCTCGTGAGTCCACAACATTTTGACCACTGTCATGACGCATACTCGTTGTCGATTAGGGTACAGACAACGGTAAACCACATTCGATTTGTTAAAGGGCCCATTAACTTGCGTCAGCCTGAGCGCGGAAAACTTAAACAAATCAACAACTTGCAAATTCGGTTACATTTTAGATGTTTTTTCTCTGTGTTTAACAAAATTCAAAGTAAAAAAGTACAAGCAAAAACAAACTAAGCTGCGCCTCGTGAGTCCACAACATTTTGATCACTGTCATGACGCATACTCGTTGTCGGTTAGAGCACAGACAACGGTAAACCACATTCGATTTGTTAAAGGGCCCATTAACTTGCGTCAGCCTGAGCGCGGAAAACTTAAACAAATCAACAACTTGCAAATGCGGTTACATTTTAGAAGTTTTTTCTTTGTGTTTCACAAAATTCAAAGTAAAAAAGTACAAGCAAAAACAAACTAAGAGAAAAACAGAATAACAAGCGTAAAAGAAGAAGAAAACCATCTCTGTGTTGCTTTCGTGTGCTTCGTTTGGGCTTATCGAGCCGCTGGTAGTGTAAACTGCGCACGCGCTGATAGGGTAACTTCCGACAGACATCGCGGGCACTTCCGGTTTCTTTAAATGCTGAAGGAAATGCAGTTTTTCATTAAATCCAGCTTTTTTCGACGAGTAACGATTTTACCCAACGTTGGAAACATAGCTATACATTCCTTTTGTAAAATCATACTTTTTTCAGAAAATTACGAATTTTTCAATACTTTGAAATTCTCTCAAAATCCGACCTTTTAGAAATGAAACGAAAGCTATGCATAGCGAAATAAAGATGAAAGTTAAAATATTAAATCAAGGGAAAAACTTCCGATTAAGTAATATGCTTGGGAGCCTTTACATTTTTTCAGAATGAGTCACATGACCATGGGCGTGGCCTGATGACATCATTACTGGTGTTACTGATCATGAACTAACCAAAAATGACAAGGTTATATGAGAATAAACTTTCCCTAGCAATGGTTTAGAAATATCAGTTAACGGGCTCAATCATTTCATTTTCACAATTGATACGTTTTTCTTAACATTTAATACTATCAACAAAAAAATTATTGAAATTTATTTTTGAAATTACTGACCTACAGCGAATAAAGCTCTATAAGCGATATACCATCCCGGCAATAGAAAGGGCCGCTGCAGATTTTTTAATGTAGTCAACAAAAAAAGTTTCTGAAATTTCACGGACCATTGGACTTCTAAGGGCCGATTTACACGGTACGACTTTGTCGCATGCGACAAGCTTACGACAGACCTACGAAAATGAATTGTTTTTTGTAAATCAAACCTCCAACTTGCTTGCGACTGTTGTGTACGTCAAAAAAAAAGTAGGATTTTAAAACATGTTTTAAAACGCTGCGACAATCGTAGCCGAAGTCGATGGAAAATGACGTATTTTGTGACAAATTTCTACTGAGTAGAGGACGAGGTGAAGTTTTCTTGCGTGAAAATGGCGTACGAACTTGATGTTGACTGATTCACATGAACACGTTTCTCTAAAAGTACTGAACGGATTAAAGCGAAAAACATCTCTTTAGAAAGTTTTTTTTCAAAGCGCAGGACAGCTAAAATATTTTTTTACAGTTTGTTAGAACCTTTGCTCCGAAAATCCAGGTGCAAACGTTTGCATATTTAATTTTGTAAGTGAAAATGTCGAGCGCGTGTAAATGGTCCTACGTCATGTCGTAGGCCTGTCGTAAGCTTGTCGCATGCGACAAAGTCGTACCATGTAAATCGGCGCTAACCGATACTTACAGATTATTTTGTATAAAGGTAAGCGCCCATGCTCAACAGAGTAAAATCACTGTCGGGATGTTATTTTTCACCATTCGTAACATCACGTGATAGCCCCATGATGATTGGTTTTCTTATTATATTTCAGTGCTAATTATCTATGCCTCGTGTTTCGTTCGGACGATGCTTTGCTGATATAGGTAGTGCACTCAACCAAGGGGCAGAGAATGGCCAAATAACACCAAAGAAGGAAAAGGTGATCCTTTACCTGTTCAAACCAATTTCAGGATATTCTAGCAAGTTCACTGAGTTTGTCGTGATCAAAGAAGCAAGCGAAAACTGTTGCGGAATGACTACGCCTCTGAGTAATTCATTTAGTTTTACTACGAAGTTAGAGAAGTAATACGACGGGTCTTCGTCGAGTCTATACTTTCCGGATCTAAAATCCGCTATTACCACTTATCTAAGAAGCCTATGATGCTCTGAAATTAGTCATCAATCCGTCTAGATGAGTTCGGGACGCCGCGAATGCAATCAACTCCGGCCGGTAAGTGAGATGTCTTGTTTATAAAACAACCACGCAACTGTACTTGCTTTTAGAAGGTATCGACTAAAAAGTAAGCGCTAAAGGATACAGGTCTCTCGATTTCTTTATATGTGTTTACTCCATCGCCTGGATAACTCGGCGTTTGCGCGGATGAAAGATCGGCTTATCGACACTAAAATTTTGGTTAATGTTTTAGCATTGCAAAGGTTAAAGAAAACACCGATACCTGTCATATCTTAGTTAGTTCATTTTTCCATTGAAAACACTAGAAAACCGATATTGTTTGTGAGATAGAAGAAGAAGCACGATGTCAGCATGTTTGGTATTTTTAATCCTTTAAGAATAATATTTGATGGAAAGTACATTACACGTCACGTCCTGCTCAACAAAATGTCTATTATGCAAAATAGAAGTTTACAATTCTAACCAATCAGTTTGCTGCATGAAAGTGAAAATTAATTCAAAGCTGTCAACAACCTGATAAAAAAAAACATGCTGCTACGATCTTCGCTTAAAATCCTTTATATATTGATATTTAAAAATGGAAATAATTCGCTTATTCGCGATTGATTGAAATTGTTCGAAGAGGAATCAATCTGTATTCTTAAAAATAAAGAAAGCAAATGCAAAACGGACCTTGCTATTAAAAGTTTATATGTATAAATCTTTTCCACGAAATATTCAAAATGGTTTTGGGTATTTTTAGTAAGATGAACAAATTTGTAAGCCAGTGAGTTTTTATCACACAATTTGATCAGTTTTAGACGTTTAAGTATTTTCTCCAACTTCCCAGCTTACTTATGTCCTTCTGAGTGACATGGAATATTCGGCTTACATATTATTCCATTTTGTTCGGACTAGGAAATATATCGTCCACAAATTTTACATATTATTATATTTATCCCCTTTTAAAACGAAACTTATTGTCTTACACTGTACGATTTTTATTGTACATTCCAATTATATATTCTAGAACTCGAGGTAGTCAGTAGTCAGTCTATTACCATTACCATCTCCATCTCCACAAAATGTAACATTTAAACAGAAGCATAAGCAGTCCAAGTCGTATTAGATGCTTACGTAAGCACAAAACCATTTTACCTTAATGTTTCGTTTCTCTTTTCACATCTGTCGGTGCTGCTCGATGCTTGAGATCACCACTGAAGTGTATTCACGGACAAGACCTTGAAACAAGCCAAATATGTAGCTATTAAGACGTGCCTTGCTTTAGATAAGCATTTGAATCTGTACGAATTTGTATCTGTGCGTCTTGTGGCGTTGTGCTTATTCATCGACTGACGCAGAAAGTTGCTACACCAAATGCTCACATTGTCTTCGCACGATTTTTGCTCAAGAACTCCGTCTTCCCGATTCATAAATGTCCCTATTAATTTCCACCATGAAAGGAGACTTTCTTTGAATCGACGATCAAAATTTAAATCAGTAGGTCCGCAATGCACCATAAGCATTTGCATTTGAAATGCAATTTAACATCGAATAATTATAATAATTATGAAAAAAAGTATGTAAAATTACATTTTCAAACTTAAATTAAACAAAAATACATTGGTATCAGCTCGGAATATATAAAAAACAAAACAAAACAAAAACATGAGAAAAAAAGGGAAAAAAAGAAGAAAAACGAAAATGACCGCAATGAGTGATTGGAAGATAAAACCATTCCTTCCAGTCGTTCTGCATCAGTTTAATCACGTGACTGTCCCTTATTCCCAAATTTCGTTCTTCATAGAAAACCAAGATGGTGGTGTTCAAACTCTTTAATCAGACCGAAAAATATGGGTACACGAGTGCGATTTCTTTATTCAATTCTTCACGTCAATTCAAAGATATGCGTATACACGATTTCTCATGAAGAAATAGTTTCTCCATGAAATAGAAATAGAAACTCTTCGGCATTGAGTTTCTTGTCCAACTTGTTCAGACTGCTCGAGCTCTGATGATTTATTATTAATAACTCGCTTGTTACTCGGGCTTCCAGAAAGGCTGGGTCTGCACTTGGTGGGCCATAGTGCCAGGCGGCTAGCGGAGAGCGCGAAAACTGGGGATGGTAATTGCAACCTTAAGATGGAACAGTGACAAAACTATGGCTACTGACTTAACAAGCAACTGTATGATGCTCAGACGAACACCTCAGATGTTGAAGAAATCAGGGATAAGCAAAGTAAACACAATGAATTACCTGGCATTCATTGAATGAATGAAGGAAGGAAGGAAGGAATGAATACTTTATCAAACCTCCCAAATGGGGCTTTTCAGGAACAATTATAATTATAAAGTAATAATTTACATAGCTATTTAAATTATTTACAAGATTAAAAAATAAAAAAACTACTCATCACTATATCAATTACATCCTAAAAAATCCCTTAGAAGTTTCATTGTACGAATCGTCCATGTTTGCGCTGAAAAACAGAGTGCTGTAAACCACGTGACGTAATTGGCGGGGAAGAAGAGGAGCCTGCACTCATTGTGATCAGTTGAATGAATACCCGACGCTCCCTACCCCTCCCCTACCGACTCCCCTACCCCCCAAAATATCTTTTCTTATTTCGAGCTGAAACCAGTTTAGTTTGTTTATTTTATTTTTATATTTTTCTCATAATTATTATGGTTATTCGATGTTCCAGGATGTTCCGGAATGTTCAGGGATGTTCCATGTTCCTGGTTTCATCGACGGCCAATAAAAAATAACAATAATATCCAGAAAAACAAGAAGATCTTTAAGATCTTACAACTGCGCTTTTAAAATTTACTGTTTTGGTAGCATGAGTGACCCGAAGGAAAAAAAACGAAAAAAAAAAAAAAACTATCGGTTTTGAACCTATTTCAAGCAAATTTGGCACACCGGAAGCTGAGAAAATTACTCTATTTCCGGCCATCAGTTTTCTTTTCGTCATATCCCCCTCTCGGGAGGGTTTTATAAAGTTAGCGAATTAGCATACAAGTCACCGTAATGGTGATTGCTGTCGGCGAAATGTTTATTTGCTAAAAAATTGCGGCCAAATCTTTCGGAGATGGAAGTCA